TTACCGCTCCGAAGAAACGTTAGCACGCGTCATATTTGAAAATTTAACCCGTTCAAACACAATTTTCTCGAAAACTTCTTTTTTAACGCATGCTAACCTGCGTTAGGGTATCAAAATTATTTCATGGGCTTATATACATCAGCACTTCTGTAGGATTTGCAGTAGAAACCACCCGTCTCTCTTTTATGTCGTCACTGTGTGTCGTTTCTACACATGTATTCTAGTGCTGTCCTCTGTCCTCAGTCAATTTATTTTAAGGTGTAATGGGTTCGCCTCCATCTCATAAATTGTACTGATATTTTCAACATTTCTTCTAAATAAATAAAGTTTATATCAACTACCCAAATACTATCATTAAAAACGACCTAAGAACATCAACTATTATATATCGGATGAGAGAGCATGTTGAGACTAACAGTATTTGTGACGGAATTTGATGCGTAGGATGCAGTTATGAAAAGTCATACTAGACTCAATCGTTGACGTCACTCCGATTCTCTGAAAAGCACCCATCCATATGTAGCTCATACAGGCGTACTTGCAACCATTCATGTGCTAGCGAACATAATGGCACTTTCGGCGTTTATGGATTATGTCGCTACTCTTCATTTCGTTGCTTTACTGTTTGTAGCCTCAGTCTGTAACTTTACATTTGCGCCAGTGGTGTCATATCCAACTGGCCCTCATCCTCCGGACTCGGTCGCCGTAGGTGATTTCAACAACGACACTCGACTGGATATCGCTGTCACCACTTATCGCGGTAGCAATGCGGGAGTCTTTCTTGGATATGGTAATGGAACGTTTGCAGTACAAGCGACGTTTTCAACTGACTATAATCCGTGGGCAGTTACCATTGCTGATTTCAACAACGACACTCGACTGGATATCGCTGTCGCCAATGGATTCGATAACAACGTGGGTGTGCTTCTTGGGTATGGTAATGGAACTTTTGCAGCGCAAACGACGTTTTCAACTCCCAGTAATCCGTGGGCGATCGCTGTTGCTGATTTCAACAACGATAGTCGACTCGATATTGCTGTCGCTAATCATGACAGTAACACTGTAGGTGTCCTTCTTGGCTATGGTAATGGAACTTTTACAGCGCAAACGACGTTTACAACTGGCACTGGGCCGTACTCAGTCGCCGTTGGTGATTTCAACAACGACACTCGACTAGATATTGTTGTCGCGAATTTTGGCGATAACAATGTGGGTGTCCTTCTTGGAAATGGCGATGGAACTTTTGCAGCGCAAACGACGTTTTCAGCTGGCAATAATCCGAACTGGATCGTCGTCAGAGATTTCAACAACGACACTCGATTGGATATCGCTGTCACCAATGGACCCGATAACACTGTGGGTGTCCTTCTGGGGCATGGTAATGGAACTTTTGCAGCTCAAACGACGTTTTCAACTGGGAAGAATCCACAATCGCTAACCGTCGGAGATTTCAACAACGACAATCGACTGGATTTCGCTGTCGCCAATTATGGCACTGCTAGTGTGAGTATCCTTCTTGGCTATGGTAATGGAACTTTTGCAGCGCAAACGACGTTCCCAACTGGCAATAATCCGGATGGAGTCGCCACTGGTGATCTCAACAACGATAATCGACTGGATATCGCTGTCGCCAGTAGCACGTTGGGCATTCTTTTGAATACTTGTTATTGTTGTGCTCCTTAAGGGGGGGGATGTAACTTGTTTTATATGAAAATATAGAAGAAACACTTGTCTGTCTGCTGCCAATTGAGGAAAGTTCAAAAAGGAGTTACGATGTCTTTCTGGATAACCAGTTGTCGTAAGGGACATCATAACACGGCTTCTGACTCGTCAGAGAAGCAAAATCGGGAAAAATCGTCCATAGCCGAGTTGTAGAGCTTGAAATTCTCCAGCACACTGTATATGAAACATACTACTAAAATTGTAATAACACGACTAAAAGCCGTCAGAGCACAAAAAATGACTGTTCTAAATAGGTTATCCAGTGCCAAATGACATCGTAACTCCTTTTTTGAACTTCAGTCAATTCATGACAGATAGAGAAGTGTTTCTTCTATATTTTCATATAAAACAAGTTATGTTCTCTCTCGTACTTTATTTCCAAAATCGGTCAAGCACGGAGTGCACCCATGGGGAAAATTCAAAAAGTCGGTCTCGCGCCTGCTATAACTCCGGCCAGGTACATCGAAGTAACGTCAGAATTAGAGGATATATGTAAAAGATGCTCTCTGTCGAATCAGGCTATTGAATCTAAAAAGTGGGAGGGTGTCGCCCCTCTCCCCTTAAGTTGAACTTTTTTTATTTTATTTGTTGCTTGCATTTCTCACTTATTACACTTAGTATCTAATTGTTAGCTCTCTAATGCTGGGATTGTTAGTAAAAAGGAGGAATGAGTTCGGTCCCACGCCTCGGTGAATAAGCCGAGATCAGCATCTGGAGAAACAAAATCTGCTACGCGAAAGGAAACCACAAACCTTTGCTGAATGAATGTCAAATTGAACTTTTGACAATAACGATGATTATTTTAACCTTTTCACTTAAGTTTTTTTTTTTTTTTTGCGAAAGAATTTCTCATCAATATTTACCATTGTTCACATAATTCCGATGAGTACTTTGATGGCGAATGTTGAGGTTTCAATAGCAGTAGGAGTATGCATACACTGTGGATTTGTGGTAAATATGATATAGTATTACAATTGTGAAGATATATGGTCTCTGGTGACAGTCCTCTGACTGCAAAGCGAGCCGTTTCGCTAGTAAAACCCAGTGCATTCCAATCACTCATCGATGTGATCAGGAAATTAATTGTCTGGGAAAGATGAATAGTTTTGTGGTCTATGGTACTGGATTGCGCAATAACTGAATTGCGTCTAATGCGCAATTTATCAACTATATAAAATTTTCTAACTGAATTACCTAAAAATTTTTCAATTAATATTTTTAACCTTCTTACATGTAAACGTACACCATCTGTATGTAGTGCTTTTATTTTACCAGGTTCCACGATAAATAAATAATCACTATCGTCGATTCGATTAATAACAACTTGACTGAATTCAAGTCTTTTGTGTCGGATGGCCATTTAAATGACCGTTTTAAAACTACATTTCAGTATGCCTCAATCAATGTTAGTGATCATACTTTAACTTAAAGTTAGAGAAACGTGGATTCTACTGCACTGAACTTAATATTAACTTAATCGATAGTCTAATGCAATATTTATGGAATTCTAATAAATTTGTGTACTTTTCGTGGTATTGCATCTTCAAACATTTTTGTAATTTATATCTTGACTTCCGAGAGCATGCACATAAAAATTGCAAAGATAGAAGGTCCATGAAGGACGTTGAAAGCTTTTCAAAGTCTTTCGTGCAATGCAGTTGCATAGCGCACGATGTCAAGTTTCTTTAATCCAAAAAGCAGTTTTTGTCCCATGGCTTGGCCTTTATAACTTTTTTTATTTATGGAACTTCGCTTCATTATGTGCATCCACTGGTCAAAATTTAAAAAGTTATTATTTTATATTCAATAATACACAAAAACCTAAAAGCATAGTTAGTAACTCATTAGATAGAAAGTAAAAAAGATAACAATGTTTGTACTTACACAGCTAAATAAAAGTGCAAAATAAACGTAAATTTCGGATAGGAGAATACTAGCCATGATCTACCCGCCGCTGGCAAAAAGTGCTTTCTTTCTTGAATTCTTCGTCGAAGTATGAGTCTGGAGCAAAATTTTACGGCGTAGGAACTCGAGAGAAACTTTCTGAATGTATGAGAAAAACAATGTTTTGCAACAGAGACAAATGCACTTAATTTAATGACCAGCAAGGCAGAGGACGACACTGTAGCGAAAAACGACGTAAATTTGCATGTATTAAAGTGCGTAATGCATTTTTACTTGATGAGATTTGCCCACGCTCAAGTTCATCTTGAATGGATATTAATTAAATTCGATTCTTTTCAACGGTAGACCATGGCTGTGTAATCACTATAGGATTTTCCTAAAAAAAATGAAATTAAGTGGTTAAATAACGCATTTTTGCAATTTTTGTTTGTCATTACCGCGTCGATACTCAACCATTTCGCTCTACTGCGCCCATTTCCTCGTTCAGCTTGTTGTTTAGCAGACAAAAACCATGAATTTTTATTTGTAAATGTCAGACCTCATTTAGCTCATCTACGCAAATAATGCGAATGAAAAATAGTTTGAACTCTTAAACTGTACATCTTCTCTACCAGTTGGTCAAGTTACAACTGGTAACGGGAGAAACGTTAATGATGTTGATGTGTGATTTCAACAGCTTAATTGTCAAGATGCAAAAAATTCATTTTATTTTTTAATTGGGACAGCTGAATAAATATTTTTTTCAACCTATAAAAGATAAAAAAGAACAAAAAAAACATTAATAAAATAAATAACTGTACGTTGTCGTTACGTTATGCGATCTCTTCTGTGTTGATTTTCCAATGGCACCGAAATGCAAAGGTAAATTACAACGAAAATTTTCATTTACACGTCACTCTTTTTTGTGTGGAATCTCTGGAGGCAATGGTAATGAATTGCAAGAACGGCAATTTCGCTCAGAAATTAAACAGGAAATTTATCGTCGTCGATTGGTGCTGATTGTCATCATCAGCGTTACTCCAAATACTCTTTGAAAAGAAAACGATTAGGTATACCTTTTAACAATTACATATTTTTTGATTATTTTAGTAGTAAAAGAAACGCAGTAGATATTCTCATTTCAAGAACAACAACAAGCAGATTATCCGAGTAATTCAAGACTTAGTACAAAACACATTCATTTTGACCAAGACGATCCTCAACAATGGGACACTGATATTTCTATTTATTCTAACACTACATATGTTAGAGAAATCGTTTCTAAAAAGATTTGTTCCTCCGTAAATTTGAAATTGATTCTGTATTGTATCTTTCATTCATTTAGATGGTGTGACTAATGGCTGATAATTATGACTACACGGATGTGTTTTGTGTTCACCAGCGACATTCTGAGATAGGTCGATTTTATTTTCTTATTTATTTTCGTTCTTATCTTTAGAAAAGAAACCAGAAACAAATTCTCGAGTACAAACTGAACAAAATTTGCCTTAGTTTTATAATTCCAAGATATGGGTAGGATCAATCGATTTATTATATTGTTTTAGGCCAAGGACCAAAACCGGCAACCGATTTGAACTGGAGACGGGGATCAATAGTGAATACACGTAAGTAGTCGAATGTGAAAATCTAGAATTATGGAAACGGTCAAACATTATACGTATTTTTAGGCCCAAACTTTCCTTTGCCAAACATCATTCCCATCGTTACATCTGGAGTCCAGATGTCCAGATTCTGGACACGATGATGTGGGTAAGTACTTTGATTAAAGGCTTCAATGGAAAAATAGAAAACCTGGAACAACTGATAATCATACATTACCATGCATTACGCATTTATCCTGTTCGTTTTTATTTAGATTTAACCGTTTACTCTCTTTGCGAAAATTTAATACATTTATCCTCAAAAATGTCTAACAAAATCGGAAACAGAGAGTTTTTGAATGAATTTAAAATGTGTATTACGTTTTCAATGGATATGTTGCACAAAATTGTCGAGTGCTCTGTTGATCATAATAACGATCGTTTTTATTCAACAGAAGAAATTTCAAGTAAACAAGCACGATCGGAAAATGATCCATATAAATTTGATGAGGAAGAATTCATATTGCAAAAAAAAAATGCTTCAGTAGCTAATGACAACATTAACTGCTGGAAACATTGTCAAAGTAGCATATGCTTATGAAAAGCTGAGCGGGTTTGGAGATGTTTTAACACATAAAAAAACTTTTGTGAATCGTTTGAGAAAAATTCACGCTTTCAAATTGTTTCATTCTAGTAACGGTTTAGGTAATTATATTATTTATAGTGACTTTAAGGTATATTTAAAATTAATTCTAAAATAATTAGCAGATGATAGTGAAGTAATCAGTATACGGCCTGTTATATTATCAAAACAACAACGACAACCGATTCGAAATAACGATTTTGATAATGAAAGTTTATTGGTCACAGGAAATAGTTTAAACTTCGAAATTGAACCTATTACGATGAAATATTCAGATTAGAACCAATGAACTTCGACGATTATATTCAAAATGTGCCTAAATTATTATTCGATTTTATTAAATTATGTACTACGAGTAAAAGCGATTACAAACAATATCTGGATCAAAAGAATGTAATTGATTTCGCGACCAATGAAGTGATGTATGATCCAACAAAGCACTTGAAACAATTATCAATTTGTTTCGACGCGATATCGTGTAGAGATCGTACTAATTTCAATTCAAAATATTCATTATTAGCAATTTCTTTAAACAAATTAACCGGAATCTGACGAGCAGTTGGACTATGTAATAGGGAGCTCAAAACAAATTAGTTTCGGAAACCGTCCGCATCTAATCGATTGTTAAATTGCACGGCAGATGATTGTCGTTGTTGTTTTGATATTGTAAAAGGCTGTCGTGAAACTACACTGATTACTTCACTATCATCTGCTAATTATTTTAGAATTAATTTTAAATAAATAATTTTACTATTAGACAAAAGTGTCCACAGTTTCTCGAAATCTTTTCGTTTTTTTTATTATTGTTTGCAATGTTAACCCCCTCTATCATA